TTAGTATGAAAATAAATTTCATTTCTCTTCAAGTTCATTTGGGTTGCGAAAAACTCTACTGTAGACCTATGCGTAGCTGAAAAACCTTTCTATCATTTAATTAAGATTTGTGACACTCAAAATATTCCTTCTGATTGGATTGCCTTGCTGTGATCATGCGGTGCATTCAGGCAATCCTTTAAGGAGCTTCACAGCGATATGCTTTAATTTTAATATTGTAAAATGTAATAAAGCAATTTCGAGTGCTGAGTGCATAATACTCGTTCACGGTCTAACGTCAAGTTAAATGTTTTCTTGGAAAATCCCAAGGGCGAGGCTGAAGAGCTATTGCTGCAAGTCTAAAACAAAATGAAATTTATTTACATATACATATGTATATATATTATTATTTATAAATAAATAAAAATCATAAATTAAAAAAAAAAAAAATTTATCATAAATTATACATAGTTAATTTGCAAAAAAATAATATATTATTTATTTTAATTATTTTTTATTATCATTATTTTTCTTAATATTCTGAAATAACTTATGTGTTCATGTCAATTTTATTAATTATATAATATATAATACATAATCTACATTTTTTTACATCATAGATATGTGTGTGTATCATATATATTTATTTTTTTATATTTTTTTTTATTTTACTCTTTTAATTTTTCATAATATAATTTATTTGTCTACATATTATTGTTATTTCCTATTTTTAAACCTATGTATGCATATAATTTGGTTCTGAGATAAGTTTATTACAGTTGTGAATTTCCGGCTATGAATCCTGTGCCTGGAGGGAGGTCCTGAGTCGATAAGGTTGCGTAACCCATTAAAACTTTGCCAGCCTCTCGATGAGTCGCTCTGCTCGCTGAGTTCTCTTTAAAGCAGAATTCCTGCTCTCATTATGCGCGTGTTTATTGAATAATTTAAATGCTTCTTGTTGATTTGTATATATTTATTTTTTGTTGCTGTCTCCTTTTTACGAGTTTTTTGTGCCTTTTAATTAAGATGATGTCTGATTCTGAAATTAGACGACAGTCTGACTGCGTTAATAAATGAATGAATGCCTTTAATTTGTCATGTCTGGCGCCTTGGGGTCATTTGCTTTCATGCGCGATTGTTAAAGCGAATGCAAAAGGATTTTTATGGCCTTGTGCAACAGGCAGAAGGCCTTAAATGTGTTCGTCTTGTTACATGGAAATTCTCTCTATATATCGATTACTTATATGGGATAGAATGGTTAGTAAGCTGCTTTTGAGCCGGCCAGCGTGGGTTATCAATATTGCTGTTTAACATGGCGTATGCGTAATAAAATCTATTGTCTACTTCCAAATAGGGCTTATACTTAGCCTCGCAAGTGTATTTGCTGCTGCCTTGGAGCACATCCTGGCTGGCTGGCTGACCGGCCTCTCCGCAGCTCGAGAGCCCTCCGCAACATTCATAGGCTTTGTTTACATCTCTGCCATTGTTTTGCTTAAACTTTTCATTGATGTTGGTTTTTACAGGCAACTCCACCTCCCCCTCCTCCTCATCCACTCCCTCGGCCAACGTCTGTTGTCTTCGTTGTCGTTTTTATTGTGCGCCGTTGCTTTTGTTGTTGCCAAAGTTGGTGCTGTTGTTGCTGCTTTTACCAATTAAGTCTTAATTTCTTAGAAAATAAAACTTTTTGGCTTCGGGCATTGTTTGGCACGCCGCCAGCATATTCTCTTACCTTCGCCCTCAACGGATCAATTGTGCCAACTCTGCGTCCTGGCCAGGATATTTGCTGTTCCTCTTGCTCGTTGCCCTTAAAGCCACAATTTTTGAAGCTGCAACTTTTCAGCCACGTTCTGTCCACCATTGGTTAGCATGGCCCAAAGAAGAAGACGAAGAAGCAGCAGCGGATGTCTGGCGCTCATAAGATAGCTGCAGGTGTAAATTATTTATTTTCATTTCAGATTTACAGCGGCCGCTCAACCACTCTGCCAGCTTTCACTCTCCACTCAAGCCCCTCTCGGCCAACTGGCGCTCGACCGCGCTTACAAGCTCTAAGCAAAACTTTTTGTTTAAAAAGTCAGCTGCAGAAGTTGATTCTCGTTCAGAGAGCAATGTTGCCCCAGCACCCAAACACCCAACCACCCAATAGCCAACTTTTGTTTGCTGCAAATAATGTTAACAGTGCTAGTCAGCATATAGTCCAAATACAAACATGCAGCTGGGCATGCTTAGCTTCTTTGAGTATTGTGTGGGCACGCAGCAGCCGATTGATGAGTAAACCCGCCTCCTGGCTCACTCACTTTGAGAATCTTACAGCCATAGCTGCTAATACCGTCAATACCTCCAGCACGGCCCAGTCACAGTTCGCTCGCATTCCAGGGTATTCGGCGCTTGCACCTGTTCCAGCTCACAGCGCGTGGGTGGCTCGGGCTGCCTGCCATCCGGCGAGAGTTGGCGTTGAAAATTGATTTTGTATTTATATTTCAGCGCACTTGTTTAGTGCCCGGGTAATGTTTAATATTTAATGCCGGCAGCTACGAGCTACAAGTGCAAACGTTGTTCA